TTAAATAATCGAACATTGGCTGAGGGTCTGTCGGCAAAACGGACTGATACTTTTTACTTGTTTTTTTTTTTTTTTTAACATTTACTAGATATAAATTAATCTCCACTGACACCGGTTGATCTCGCCAAAATTTCTCCCGAAATGCATTTCTATGCAATTGCAATTTCGTTATTGTTGTTATTATGAAATTCTGACTAAAGTATTTTGTTTATATTTCGCCGGTCGTGTTTGATTGAATTCCCTTGCATTGCCGATGTTTTCCTCTGTTTGTTGTTCGTTTCTAATTTACGGTTTTATTTTGTTCCATTGCAACCCGACAGCAAGAGTATATTTTGTAGATTGACAACATAACCCCACGCAACATCGAACCACCACCCTTGTTTGTTTTTCCAGCCAGTCGAACATGTTGGTTGGTTGTCGTGAAATTTTGTTGTGCCTGTGTTGTTGTTGTTGTATTCATTTTGCCGGGTATACCGATTGGAATATTTGTTTGGTTGCGACTGGAAGAGAAAATTTACGGTACAATTGTTTGGATTATGTTGGAGAGCATAGTTGCCAGAGGTGGATAAGTGGAAATTCATATAAAATTTAATTTTTCAAAAAAAAAAAAACTAATTTCGTATTGTCTAAAAAATTTGTCGAAATACTTGTTTTTGGGAATAACATGGGGGTGAAGTCATGTACTTGTATGTAAGGGAAACACATTCACTCCATGGTGAAAAAATGTTAATTTGAATTTAACAAACATTTTGTTCTCTTAAAAATATAAATTTCATCGAATATAAAAATGGTAGCATTATAGCTAAAGTACGAAGGATTTGACTAATTTTCAAGAAATTAAATTCATTTTTGTAATTATTCCAAGATTTCTTTATGGCTGAAATAGCTCTCTCTCTCTCTCCCTGAATTACTAAGATATTACTTCTTAGGCTTGATTTAGCATTTAAAAGTTCGACAATACGATACACATTTTTTAAGAGCTATAAAAATTATTCAAAAAACCTCCGACAGGACTACAAGTCTGCTTCTCTCCCAAAAATATATTTTATATGATGAAAATTTTATCGTCTGGCTTTTTGCAAATAAAGACTAGTTCTGTGTTCAGAAACGTGATAAGAACACTTTTTAGAAATAAAAAAAAAAAACTATCAAAATAACTGCAGTTTTAAAAATATCCTTACCGAGGTTACGGACCTATGGCAATAATTTGAAAACTGCAATTAGATTAAACAGAGTTGCCAGTATTTCAGAAACCTTTTGAGAAATAACTAATTGCTTGACCCGACGTTTATACGAATTTAGGCTATATTGGCATTTTTAGGATTACCAGCAAAAGTCCACTTTAAAAATTTAGATTAACTACAAAATTTCGTGTTAGACATTTTTAGTACTGTAACGACAGGATTTCTCCCCTTGGGTTCGTACAGATATTTCATTTTTGAGACAGGAAGAGAAAGACAGTGGTTTACGTTTTCATATTACTATGTTTTTATTATAAATGAAATTTGAACTATATATAACTATAGATTAAAATAACTATCCTACTCGTCTTCCGTCCGGGATTGGGGGTTCTTCCACTCGAGACCTGGATAAGTACTCAAGGAACGGGACAAGGATACATGAACAGGGTGTTCAGGATTCGGGATGGATTCTCTGCGAGAGACCTGGATAAGTACTCAAGCAGGCTACGGGATATTCAAGGATACGGCTGCAGGAGATCTTCCGCTACAAGGATAAAGGATACGTTTGCAAGAGACCTTAATAACTACTCAAGCACTACAGGATATTCAAGGATATGATTGCAAGAGACCTTAAAAATTACTCAAGCACTACAGGATATTCAAGGATATGACTGCAAGAGACCTTAATAAGTACTCAAGCACTACAGGATATTCAAGGATATGATTGCAAGATACCTTAATAAGTACTCAAGCACTACAAGGATCTAGGATACGTTTGCAAGAGACCTTAATAAGTACTCAAGCACTACAGGATATTCAAGGATATGATTGCAAGAGACCTTAATAAGTACTCAAGCATTACAAGGATCTAGGATACGTTTGCAAGAGACCTTAACAAGTACTCAAGCACTACAAGGATCTAGGATACGGTTGCAAGAGACCTTAATAAGCACTCAAGCACTACAGGTTGTTCAAGGATATAGTTGCGAGAGACCTTAATAAGTACTCAAGCACTACAGGATATTCAAGGATATGATTGCAAGAGACCTTAATAAGTATTCAAGCACTACAGGATATGATTGCGAGAGACCTTAATAAGTACTCAAGCACTACAAGGATATTCAAGGATAATAAATGACTCACCAAGGATGTGTTAGGACTCACACAAGGTTGGGTAAGGATATAAGGATTCGATCCCAGGATGTCCCGAATAGAATTGATGATGGTTAACCTACCGCTTGGATGTTGCTGCTTTCGTGGTCTGGCACTGACTGTCCCCATTTTAAGTTTGGTCGCCCTTTATATGGGAGTCTAAACACCTGTCTTGTGGTAGATTAACGGGACCTTGTTTACTTCATTTGAATGTCCCAAAAACATAATCAGAGAACATTATAACGGGACATCTCCCTCTCTCGCCCTTGCTCTCTGTACGAAAACCCCACAGAACAAAACGCGCTCTACTGTTTCATACTTTATTTATATAAAAAAACATCCTTGGTACAAAAAATAACATCAGAGTATGGGCGAAAATGAACTCCTTGTGATTTTCGTCGTCACAGTACGTAACGTTCGCAATTTGTTCAGTTTGACTAAAATGTTTAATCAAAACCTCTTACTTGGTATTAAATTTCCAGGCTTTCAAGGTTCCATACATCATTCATATTTTTTCCTTTTTTCTGAAAGCTCTTCAAAATCTTTCAATCTGATGTTTACCGAAAGAAATTTAGTAAGACCACTGCTCAATGGACCCATCCAACTTTTTCTGTTCAACAATATTAAACTCTATGTTAACCATAGAAACAATCGGTGACCTCAATATAAAATTTTAGAATTTCAGATCTATCCCTTCATCCAATACCAAATTAAGTAACATTAACTACGCATACCCAAAACAATCTACATCTCATCGCCCTAAACACCAACAGTGGTCCAAAACTACTACCATTTAGTACTTGTCATATAATTTTAGTATACATTTTACAAACCACATCTATATCTCAGTTGCAGATACCAAAAGAGACCTTTATATTAATTTTCGGGATTCCAGCTCTATGCATTCACTCAATACCAAATTTAGCACTATTCACCACTTTTCCTACAATTATAGTACAAATTTTAGAAACCACCTCCATATCTCAAACACAGGGACAGAAAGAGACCTTATTATGAAATTTCGGTATTCAAGCTCTATCCCTTCAACCAATACCAATTTTAGTACCACTTTGTACTTTTCGAACGATTATAGTACACATTTATAAAACCACCTTCCTTAAACCGATGACACCAATAGTGGCATCTACAGGGTGAGATAAAAACAACTGTAACAAAGTCAAACGTCATAATTTATTATTTATCGAATTGATCACCTTTAGCACGAATTATGGCCTTCAAACGGCCAATGAAACCGTCACACGCTGCCCGAATGTTGCTCTGCGGTATTTTGGTCCATTCCCGGCGAAACGCTTGCTTAAGGTGATCGAGACTTTGGTATTTTTTAGTGCCAACTTTGCTTTCCCAAAATACTTCAGACACAATAGTCCAACGGATTGGTATCCGCAGATTTTGGTGGCCATTGTGTGGTGAAAATGAAGCGAGGAACCTCATTTTGTAACCATTCTTGGGTGGCGCGTGACTAGTGCGATTGTGCTGAGTCCTGTTGGAATGTCTAAGGTCTGCGGCCAAAATGTTTGCGTGCCCATGGCTTCAATACTCTCCAGAATATTTTCGCGATAATATTCGTCATTTATTCGAATAATAAGAGCGAAGAGCTACAATAGGCTGTTATGGTGGCCCACACCATCACCGTGGCCGGCGCTTGAGTTCTGTTGGCCAACCGAAGGTGCACATTTTCAACTGACCTCTTTTGCAAGCAAACACGATAATTTTGTTTGTTTTCAAACTGCTGGACAACGAATGTTTCTCATCGGAGAAAACAAAATTCCGCAGTTTACCACTTTCGGCCAAGCGAAGCCACTCTTCAGCTCTTTTGAGCCTATTTTCTTTCCTAGGCAGTGTAACTTCTTGCACTTTTTTGAATTTCAATGGCTTTACCCCGTGCTCATTTTTCAATATTTGCCGAATGGAATAATGCGATATGTTCAGCTCACGACCCAATGCGACGCGGGTTTCGATCTTCACTTTCGTCCACTTCCTTGGCGTCGGGCTACGCTACCAGTATCACGGTAACGAGCGATGGTACGAGACACAAAAGAGTTATTCACATTTAAATGCTGGAGGGCTCTAAAGATAGCAACTTGTGGTTTTCCAGCCAAATATAAAGAAATCACACTGTCACGCTTGAATTCCGTTACGAATAACTTTTTTTCTGGAAAATTCTGAAAAATGCTTTTGTACGCTTGTAAACTATATAATGAGCTGTCACTGGAATAATTTTAACAGCTGTCGGACGAGGGGCTTGGAAATGACAGCAGTCTGAAGTTGGTTGCAGTTTTTTTATCTCACCCGCATTTCATATTTAAACAGAGTTGCCATGTTTATTCGCGATATTATAGTATTTTGTTTTTGCAAAATGGTCAGGCTTAATTCCATCATTGTTGTTTTTATAAAAACAACGTTTGTTTATTAACAATAATGGGATTAAGTCTGACCATTTTGCAAGAACAAAATATTCCATATTTATTATTTCATTGGATACCCAGTGAATGACAAATTTTAATTTAGATGAACAATAATAATTTAATGTAGAATATAATAGTGTTTTATCATTTTTCTCTTTATAAATAAAATATAATTTATTTTTTTAGTTTTCAAGTAAAAAATCTCGCCATTCCTTTTTCCAGATTTCAACCAACATTTTTCTTTGGCTGTTTCGCTGGATTCCCGTTCAACAATCATCGATAAAACACACTGCAACCAACAACCACTTCACGCAACATGTTCGATGTCAGAGACAACAAAACAGCCCGCTTTAGACATTGCCGAACAATGGATGTCGCAACGAACATTTAGTTTAGCTTGAGAATTCGTGGAAAGTGGTTGAGCGAGCGGAATCTACGCGCGTTGTCAACGGGAATAAGAAGAGTCACAACAACGGTTCGTTTACAGTGATGAAGTTCATTGAGGAGCTATAACAAATAACATAAGATATTCAAGTGTGCAAAAAATTTGTGAAAATCTGAAAATTTTGAATGAAAAGAAAATCTAAAACGGAAATTGAAAATAAAATATTGAAGCAAGTGCAAATTAACCTAATCGAAATTGGAATGTTTTGAAATCGATAAGATAAGGAGTTAATGTGCAAAAAAATAAAACATATGGATGCAGTGTAGTAAAAGTATCGGAAATACCTACGTAGTGAATAAAATATTGAAAAAAAAAATATCTAAGTAAAATATTGAAATAATACCACAACAGTTATATTGGTGTTTGATTATGCTGAAGTAAATGAGAATTACAGCTGACGACGACTATCTTATCAGTGAAATGAGTGATAAATTGTAAGAAAAAAAAAAAACCAGAAGCTACCTACCGGCTGATTAAAAGCGGAAATCCCCTTCAAGAAAAATTTCAAAACTAATTTTTTGAAAATAAGCTCCAATTGGAAAATATATCCACTTTACATTTTAATAATCAAAAAATTGAAAATAATTTTGAATGTCAATTATTTTTGAGTGAATATTGAAAAAAGTGCCATAAAAATAAAAAAAAAATAATTTCCTCAAGGAAAATGTTTAAATAACTCGAAATAAATAAAGAAAAATAAGCAGTTGGATTGGAATTTTGAATTTTCAATATCATCGACGAACATCAAGGAATCCCCCACCCAAATATACCCCGGCAACCCCCCAAGTAACCACAAAATCTTATTATGGAGGACGAACTACGTTGTCCCACATGCAAACAGCTTTTTGCTAATCCTGTTTTGTTGCCCTGCTTCCATGCCCTGTGCCTGGGCTGTGCTTTGGATATACAGACACCCTATACACCTGGTGCCATTTTGGCCTCGGTTACGGGAGGCGGTGGTGGTTCATCGTCCCTGAATGGTGGTACCCTACACAGTGTTGCCGCCACAGTACATCCCCATCCATCTGGTCTGGCTGCCGGTGGAGGACATCATTCACATCCCCACAATCACACACATCCCTCGACGACCCGACACTCGTCCAACAGTTCAGCTGCCAGTACGGCCAGTTCAGCCACCGGCACCGAATCCGTAACCTCAGATCAAGATCAGTCCGATAAAGTCAGCATCCTCAGTGAAGCCGATTCGGGTGTTGTCTGCTGTTCGAACACCTCACGACCCGTGTCGTATGCCGGTACTGGACACATTACCAATCTTCTACAGGGTGCTGCCTCAGCTCCACCAGGTGCTGCCTTCAGTCTCACCTGTCCACTTTGCCGTAAAATTGTTTTCTTTGACGAGGGTGGTGTTCGCAATTTACCACCCTACCGGGCCATGGAATCCATTGTGGATCGTTTCTGTGCCCGTGAGGCGTTGCGTTGTCAAATGTGTGAAACAGATCCCAAGGTCGCTTCGTTGGTGTGTGAACAGTGTGAAATACGTTATTGCGATGCCTGCCGGGAGCTATGTCATCCGGCTCGTGGCCCATTGGCCAAACATAATTTGGTCAAACCCAAGGGAGCGGCCCAACAACGCGAATCAGTGTGCGGCGAACATGAGGAGGTCCTGTCAATGTATTGTCTCACCTGTAAGATCCCAGCCTGTGCTGAGTGCATCAACGATCAGCGTCATCCACAACATGAAGTCCAGCCGATCACCACGACATGCAAGGCACAAAAGGTAAGTTTGAATGAAATCTATTTTATAATAAAGAAAGTGAATCGGTCTTGGAAGTCATATTTAGGGTTAAATAAAAATCAGTAGAAAAGGGATTTAATAAGGTCCTTATAAAAGATGGGAAGACATGGAAAGGCTATTAAGGGCAATTTTTAAAGAGGCATAGTGTTTATTATAAGGATATTCCTCTAAAAGCTAATCCATTACGTAAGAAAAAAATGTCTCTGGGATTAAAAAAATCGACTTTAAAGAATTATTTGAAAATTTCTTCGTTTGTGTCTAATTTGTTTATTTCTATAAAAAGAGGTGAATTTCGGAATCTGTTCAAATATATGAAAATATCATTTAATTCTAAAGGGTTGAGCAATGTTTTCAATAAAAATAGAATTAAATAATGTTTTATATTGAAAAAAATGTCCTTTTAAAATCTGAATATTTTTTATTAATAGACTTAGAACATTTGAAGAATTTCTCCTGAAATATATGCTCCGCTTCAGTACCTTTAAGGGTCTCTCAGTTTTGTAATTCTTACCATATTTTTATAAATATATTTATTTTTTTATTTACATATAGTATAATGGTGTGTTCTTTTTTAAGATTATCGTGGCCTTCGTGGCATATTTTTGTATCCTCAGTCCCAGAAGTTTTTTTTATAAAAAAATTTATATTCTCTTGAAGAAAAAACCAAACTATTGGAGAAAATTTTTATATGAAAAATTTGAGAATTTTTTAATAAACATTTGTTTATACAAAGTTTTATAAGGGATATTGTTCAGGGTTTATGGAGATACATATTGTGAACATATTAAATACACATTCTAAAGGATTTAAAATGTTTTTCACATTAGCCATCAAAAATTTTTTAAAATTTAAAAATCGTCTCCAATGCTGGTTAGTTTTTCCATAAAATTCTGATTTGAAAATTAATTTTTTTCTACACAATTTGTTCTTATTTATAAAAGCACTAATTTAAAAAATTTAAAATATAAAAATTTTTGGTCTGTGATTTCTAATATTAAAAAAAAGTTGTGTCAATTTGGATAAAAGAAAACAATCAATAAACATTAATTTCACCTAAGAATATAAAATATATATTCATAAACATTGTTGATCAGAAATTTCTTTATATTGAATTTCTGATCCAAAATTTGTAAGAAATGCATTTTTTATAAAAAAGTGAGTTGTGAATTTTTGTAAATGTATGTTCCAACAAAGAATGATATTTTTGGTAAAATGGTTAAGGTGTTTTTATTTAAAGAGAATAATAACCTTTGGAATATTTTTCTCTAAATATAGACCCGAGGGCTGCTATTCTCAAAGTCTACTAAATTCTACTTCAATGGATGTTCTACAAAAAAAAAAAAAAAAAAAAAAAAATAAAATAAATAAATAAAAAAAAAATAAATAAATAAAATAAAAAATAATAAAACCAGTTAAGAAACTCTTAAAGTCAGGCGGGACAGACTAATGCTACGTCTGAACCGATTTTCACCAAATTTGACAAACTCTTGTTCTTGGCTCACTGGGGGCGTAAGTGCCACATTACATCCCATTTGGGCTAATATTACACATTTGATGCAAAATAAAAAACAAATCAGACGAACATATATATATGGGAGCTATGTCCTAATCTGAACCGATTTCGATAAAATTTGGCATGGGTATTTCTGAGCTCTATTTGATATATTTTTCCAAATATCTTTGTTACAGAGTTCATATTACGGCTCCGATAGGTAGACATATGGGAGACATATCTAAATTTAGACCAATAATCTCCAATTTCAATAGTGATTCTATGCAGATCATCAAAAGGAACTATGGGTCTTTAACGTTTTATTTTGCCTGTTACAAACAAATGCACAAACCCTTACCACCATGTGGTGTAGGTTATAATAAAATAATAAAAAAAATGTTTTCATGTATTTCTATTAAAGTATATATTCTTAGAAATTATGGATTTAGTATCAAAATGTTTAAAACAGTTCTGGGATGTTTGTTCGGTAACATTTCTGAAATTTTTAGGGGAAATAATCGGTGGGTAAAGGCAAAAATAGTTCTAAACAAGAAAAAAAATCTAAATTTTATCTACAAAAATTGCATTTGATAATTTTTTAATGGTCGTTGAAAAATCCAGCATTTTTTGAAAAATTCAGAAATTTTAAAAATGTTCCTAAAAATCCAGTATTCACGATTTGTTACGAGGGAATCTCGAAAAATATTCCTAAATTTCTAACCAGGAAATTTTAGAAATCTACAACTTTTGGTCGGGATATAAGATCATCCTTGAAAAGTTTAAATTTTAATATGGGACTACTTTGTAAAAAAAATCTTAAGAACCTACAGTTTGAAAAAAACAAGATTTTTAGGTTACCTAAAAACCTCCTTGAAGAATTTTCGGAAAAAAAATATGAACTTAAAAAATGTATGGTGTTTGTCCTTGTAAGGAATATTTTGAAAAATTAAAGATATTTGGTCGGAACGGTCTTTTTTTTTAATTCATAATCTCTGTCCTGTGGAAACTTTAAAAAAATATACACGCCAATTGGTCTCGATGTCCTACCAGATTTTTGATTTTTCTCCTGGTAGTCCTTGTAAAAAAATATATTTTAAAATTCATAAGTTTATTTGACAGCTGAAAATATTCTAATAATGATTCAAGTTCAGAAATACCTTGTAAAATGATTCTTTAAAAATCCACGAATTTTGTTCGGATATCCTTAAAAAATTGGTTATTTTTTCCTTAAAATGCATCATTTTTCCTAAAAACAACTTACAATTTTTATTGAAAAAATTCCCAATTTAATATGCAGAATTTTTCGCAAGAACGCCTTAATTCAAAACTTATATGCATAGCCAAAATGTCCTTGATTTTTTTTTTGTAAATCAACGTTTACATATTTCCTTGAAGCCCAATAGTCAAATAAATACTGTGATTTATCAATAATTAAAATAAAATATAACAAATTTCCTTGAATATTAAAAAATATAACCCCTGCAAATTATGCCCTAAAATCCTTCGGAAATGATTTTTAATAGGGGAGAATACCACAAGAACTTAATACGAGAGAATATCTTCCATTTTCATCCCCATCCATATTACTTTGTGAGAATTTTCAGTCAAATCTTGTGGAGAACATATATAGCCTATCCTCGATCTCGTAAATATTTATAACATCACATATGATGAATTTTGATTATTTCCTAAACATCACAACTGTGACCTCATTAACACTTGACGAAATATTTTACTCAAGAAATATTTTCATCTTGAGGGAAAATATTTCTTGATAATATTATAATACTCCATAAATTTTTTTCTTTACATTTAACTTTTATTGGCAACAATTGGAAAAAATATAAAAAAATAAAAATAAAATAAAAATCTAATAGAACTATAGAACACTATTTATCTGAATTATACCTAAATATCACTTAGAATACAATAAAAAAATATAGCTACGCTTAATTTATAAAATTGTTTTATACTTTTGTACCATTTTTATACCCTCAGCCATATGGCTACAGAGGGTATATATCATTTGATACGGCCAAAACGTGCCTAGTCGAAATAACGGTTTTAGACCCTAGGTCTCTTTGGACCAAATCCGTTTCAGAACATTTGGAGTCGATCTAGAGATGTCCGTCCGTCCGTCCGTCCGTCCGTCCGTCTGTCTGTCTGTCTGTCTGGCTGGCTGGTGCGCACGATAACTCTCGAAGGGAGTATCCAATTTGGTCCAAACTTGGTACATCGTAATATTTTTGTCAAACTTAGATCGAGTTCGGAGATGGGCAATATCGGTCCACTCCTTCTGGTACCTCCCCCACAAAAGTTCAAAATTTTCAAAAAATTTAATTTTTGCACAGAAAGAGAAATTATAGTCCGATTTTGCTCCAACTTTGCAAATCTTAATATTTGCGTCAGTGTGAGGTCGGGTGTGAAAATGGAAAATATTGGCCCACTCCATCAAGTACCTCCCCCACAAATGGTAAAAATTTTGAATAATTACAACTCTCATAAAATGTGATGTAAGTGTCCGATTGTCTTAAAATTTTACACATCCCAATATTTATATTAACCTAAGGTCTGGTGTTAAGATGGAATATCTCGGTCCACTCCTTCTGGTACCTCCCCCACAAAAGGTCGAAATTTTCAAAAAAAAAATATTTTTTTTTTGCACAGAAAGAGAAAGAATAATTCGATTATTCTGCTACTTTGCAAATCCTAATATTTGCATCATTGCTAGGTCTGGTGCGAAAATGGAGAATATCGGTCCACTCCTTCTGGTACCTCCCCCACAAAGGGTCAAAACTTTAAATAATCACAACTCTCATAAAATGTGATGTAAGAGTCTGATTGTCTTGAAATTTCACACATCCCAATATTTATATTAACCCAAGATCTGATGTTAAGATGGAATATATCGGTCCACTCCTTCTGGTACCTCCCCCACAAAAGGTCGAAATTTGCAAAAAATATATTTTTTGCACAAAAAGAGAAAGGATAATCCGATTTTGCTCTCCTAATATTTGCATCAGTTCTACGTTAGGTGTAAAAATGGACAATATCGGTTCACTCCTTCAAGTACCTCCCCCACAAATGGTCAAAATTTTGAATAATTACAACTCTCATAAAATGTGATGTATGAGTCCGATTGTCTTCGAATGGCGCACATCCCAATATTTATATTAACCCAAGCTCTGGTGTTAAGATGAAGTATATCGGTCCACATCTTATGGTACCTCCCCCACAAATGGTCGAAAATTTGAGATATATATTTTCTGCACAGAAAGGAAGCAATAATCTAATTTTGAAAAACATAACGCTCAAAGAAAGCGAAATAAGGATTCAACTCTTTTCAAATTTCACACATACAAATTATTTTTGCTAACACCAGATCTGTTTTGAAGATGATCCTATATATCTGCGAACACCTTCTGGTACCTCACCCACAAAGAGACACATTTTTCAATATTTTTATCTGTCATAAATTGCGAAACAACTCAGTGATTCTTTACAATTGCTATATCCATCTGCTATAATAATATTTATATCATATTTATGTAGGTCCGATACGAAATTGACAATATTGACCCATTCTTTAAAAACCCACTCCATAGAGGGTGAAGAGGGCTGAGGGTATACATCTGTCGGCAAAGCCGACCGATACTTTTTTACTTGTTTATATTTTCTTTCTATCAAGTGTTCTTATTATTTGCTAATTTTTCCCATTAAAAAAAGGTTCTCTTAGTTATCTTCTTTTTTTGCTTTTGATAAAAGGAGCCATTTTTGGAATAATACAAAATTTATTTTTAAGGAAATGCCCAGAAATTTTTAATAATTGTTTTTATACCCTCAGCCATATGGCTACAGAGGGTATATATCATTTGATACGGCCAAAACGTGCCTAGTCGAAATAACGGTTTTAGACCCTAGGTCTCTTTGGACCAAATCCGTTTCAGAACATTTGGAGTTGATCTAGCGATGTCCGTCCGTCCGTCCGTCCGTCCGTCTGTCTGTCTGTCTGTCTGTCTGGCTGGCTGGTGCGCACGATAACTCTCGAAGGGAGCATCCGATTTGGTCCAAATTGGCTACAACGTAATATTTTTGTCAAACTTAGATCGAGTTCGGAGATGGGCAATATCGGTCCACTCCTTCTGGTACCTCCCCCACAAAAGGTCGAAATTTTCAAAATATATATTTTTTGCACAGGAAGAGAAAGGATAATCCGATTTTGCTCCAACTTTGCAAATCCTAATATTTGCGTCAGTGCTATGTCTGGTGTGAAAATGGACAACATCGGCCCACTCCTTCTGGTACCTCCCCCACAATGGGTCAAAATTTTAAATAATTACAACTCTCATAAAGTGTGATGTAAGAGTCCGACTGTCTTCAAATTTTACACATCCCAATATTTATATTAACCCAAGGTCTTGTGTTAAGATGAACAATATCGGCCCACTCCTTCTGGTACCTCCCCCACAAAAGGTCGAAATTTTCAAAAAAAAAAAAAAAAAAAAAACAATTTTTTGCACAGAAAGAGAAAGGCTAATCCCTGTTTGCTCCGACTTTGCGAATCCTAATATTTGCGTCAGTGCTAGGACAGGTGTGAAAATGGACAATATCGGTCCACTCCATCAAGTACCTCCCCCACAAAATATTGAAATTTTGAGTACCCATGAAGCTCATAAATCGCCAAATTAACATCCGATTCCATTTAGACTTGGCAGATCTGTCGAAATATTTATATCGTATTTTGGGTCCGATAGGAAATGGGCAATATTGGCCCATTCCTTCGGGATCTGCTCCATAGAGGGTCAAACGTTTGAATAACCTTAACACTAGTCAAAATATATTTAGATAATCGAACATAAGCTGAGGGTATATCTCTGGCGGCAATACCGACTGATACTTTTTAACTTGTTATTTAATAAATCTATCATTTTCAAGATCTTTATACACGAAACCGGAAAATAGTTTATGAAAATTTGGAAGACCCATCACCTAAAATCTACAATAAAAGAGCACTTACTTGGAGTAAAATTTTTAACTGAAAGAATACGAATTTACATGAAAAGTATTTCTGCATTAAAAATCCATATCGACTTTAGGAGAAAATCTAACAAAATAAAGATGGGTTAACATATTTAAAGGTCACTATTTTTTATCTACAGACCATGTTAATGTAACAGCTTTATTTATCCCATTTTTCCTTTAAAATAGATACTGTCTTTAAATG